TCTTCTGCACTCAGCTTTCTTTATAGTCCAACTCTCACATACATACATGACCACTGGAAAAACCATAGCCTTGACTAGATGGACCTTTGTTGACAAAATGTCTCTGCTTTTCAATATGCTGTCTAGGTTGGTCATAACTTTCCTTCCAAGGAGTAAGCGTCTTTTAATTTCATGGCTGCAAGCACCATCTGCAGTGATTTTGGAGCCCAGAAAAATAAAGTCAGCCACTGTTTCCACTGTTTCCCCATCTATTTGCCATGAAGTGATGGGACCGGATGCCATGATCTTAGTTTTCTGAATGTTGAGTTCTAAGCCAACTTTTTCACTCTCCTCTTTCACTTTCATCAAGAGGCTCTTTAGTTCTTCTTCACTTTCTGCCACACATAGTAGGTACTACAATACATGACTATTATTTACAGTTGATCTGACCTTTCCAGGAGATCCATCCTGATAAGACTTGGATGTTCTAATACACATGTCACTCCTTGCCCTGATTACCTAGGTGAAAGGACTCAGGATAAATTTAAACCATATTTAGGTCTGTTGACACAAAAGATAGTACATAATTGAAATTTTGCAGTAAAAACATAATACCAGGATTCTCCAAAGAAGCAAATGAATAAAGTAACTAGAAAGTGCTTATCTTCATTAAAGAAATATACAAGGTGTGACTGGGGTGACGTGGCTTAAATGGGGCTTTGAAGGCTGGCTCCATTACCACACACACAGCAAACCTCCCCAGTGTATAGTTCACAGCAGGAGTGTTAGATATGCAAGGAGTGTCTGTTTCTTCTACATTAAGAGTAGATCTCATTTTAATTGCATTTTAACTGTTGTGTTTCCAAGGTCCTGAAATAATTTATTATGCTACAGATATGTTGATTTCTTTCTGGGAATTCTGAAAGTTTTTTTAAAATTTTATTTATGAAACAGAAGCAGAAAAGCAGAGTCATAGATGTAGAAAACTAACTTATGGTTACAAAGGGGAAAGAGGAAGGAGGGATAAATTGGGAGACTGGTGTTGACACATACATACTATACACACCACTATATGTAAACTAGGTAACTAATAAGGACATATTGTGTAGCACATGGAACTCTGCTCAGCACTTGGTACTGCCCTGTGTGGGAAAATAATCTAAACACAAAGAAACAGCAAAACAATGCCAAAGTACTGTGAGTCTAGAAGAGAAATATAGTTTTGTTCACACTAGAAAAATATGATCAAATCATTTTTATCTTTATGATATCTAGAGTAAATTGAACACATACAAAACTGCTTCATTGGTGGAAAAAATTACATCTCATTTGCTTCTGGTAACTGGACCACATTTCACAATAGATTGAAAATGAAATTTCTTAACTTTTCCCATATCCTTTGGGGCATGTAGAATGGCATGTTGTTTAATGAGCTTATTTTGTGTGCAGAATCTACATTTCCTCTCACACAAATCATTCTAACTTCTGCCTTTCACACTTGACTTTTTAAAGGGCCTCAGTGATTTCTTAAATTTTTGTATGAATTTGTAAAATGACGTTGGTTGTGCTTTTTATATAATGTGTACATGTGTTAATTTACAAAGTACTACGTCACCTATCACTCTTGGATAAAATTATGGATCATGGCCGTATTTCCTAATTTTTCATTTAGATCAATGTCAAACACTCTTTAAAATATCTTAAAATTTGTTTTGCAACTCTGGGAAGAAAGACAGTAAATATGAAAAAAATTTTAACTTTGAGGACAATCAAAATGTGCTAATGTTATCCATAAACATTTATTGGTCACTGGCAACTTTTATCTGTTACTGTGTTTTGATCCCTTTATGATGACCAGTTAATTGGTGAATTGTATTAGTCAGGGCTCAACAGAGACAAAACTAACAGGATATGTAATATATGTATTATATGCTAAGTCACCTCAGTCATGTCTGACTCTTTGCGACCCTATGGACCGCAGCATGCCAGGCTTCCCTGTTCTCCCTGAGTTTGCTCAAACTTATGTCAATTGAGTCAGTGATGCCACCCAACCATCTTGTCCTCTCTTGCCCTCTTCTTCTCCTGCCCTAAATCTTTCCCAGCATGAGGGTCTTCGCATCAGGTGGCCAAAGTATTGGAGCTTCAGCGTCTGTCCTTCCAATGAATATTCAAGGCTGATTTTCTTTAGGACTGACTGGTTTGATCTCCTTGCAGTCCAAGAGACTCTCAAGAGTCTTCTCCAGCACCACAGTTTTAAAGCATCAATTCATCAGCGCTCAGCCTTCTTTATGGTCCAACTCTCACATCCATACGGAACTACTGGAAAAGCTGTAACTTTGACTTTGTCAGCAAAGTGATGTCTCTGATTTTTAATACGCAGTCTAGGTTTGTCATAGCTCTTCTTCCAAGGAGTAAGCATCTTTTAATTTCATGCCTGCAGTCACCATCTGCAGTGATTCTGGAGCCCAAGGAAATGAAGTCTCTCACTGTTTCCATTTTCCCCCCATTTATTTGCCATGAAGTGATGGGACCAGATGCCAGGATCTTAGTTTTCTGAATCTTGAGCTTTAAGCTAACTTTTTCACTCTCTTCTTTCACCTTCATCAAGAGGCTCTTTAGTTCCTCTTTGCTTTCTGCCAGTAGGATGGTGTCATCTGCATATCTGAGGTTATTGATATTTCTCCTGGCAATCTTGATTCCAGCTTGTGATTCATCTAGCCCGGCATTTCTCATGATGTGCTCTGCATATAAGTTTAATAAACAGGGTGACAATATACAGCCTTGAAGCACTCCTTTCACAATTTGGAACCAGTCCATTGTTCCATGTCCGGTTCTAATTGTTGGTTCTTTACCTGCATACAGGTTTCTCAGGAGGCAGGTCAGGTGGTCTGGTATTCCCATCTCCTTAAGAATTTTCCACAGTTTATTGTGGAAAACCCACATAGTCAAAGGCTTTCGTGTAGTCAATGAGGCAAAAATCAATGTTTTTCTAGATTTCCTTTGCTTTTCCTATGTTCCAACAGATGTTGGCAATTTGATCTCTTGTTCCTCTGCCTTTTCTAAATCCAACTTGAACATCTGGAAGTTCTCGTTCCATGTAATGGTGAAGCCTAGCTTGAAGGATTTTGACTGTTACCTTGCTAACATGTGAAATGAGTTCAATTGTGCGGTAGTTTGAACATTCTTTGGCATTGCCTATCTTTGGGAGTAGAATGAAAACTGACCTTTTCCAGTCATGTGGCTACTGTTGAGCTTTTCAAATTTGCTACCATATTGAGTGCAGCACTTTAACAGCATCATCTTTTAGGATTTGAAATAGTTCACCTGGAATTCCATAACCTTCAATAGCTTTGTTCGTAGTGATGCTTCCTAAGGTCCTCTTGACTTCACACACCAGGTTGTCTGGCTCTAGGTGAGTGACCACACCATTGTGGTTATCACCAAAAGCTGTACTTATGAATTAATCTCCAAACATTCATCATTTATCTTTCATAGATCTAGTATAAGTTTATTCTTTGCTGCAGTCACAGTTCATGTTAGTCAGTTTCCAGAAGGGTGATGCATTTCTCAATGGGATATTGCACACTTTTAACTTTTATTGACTACTTCCTTTCCCCACCCATAAGAACAACTTTCTATTTCCATTTAACTGAAATGCATTTGCAATATCCTTCCAGCAGTGTGTCTCTTCCATTACCTGAAGAATAGCTGTGCAAACATTTCTATGCCATGTTAACGATGTGCTCAGCATTTCTTCATGTTTTTCTGCCAAACATGCTCTTAATTATTTTTCATATTGTCTTCTCCATTATTTAGCAATGTTCCTGGAGGTTAGTAACCGTGTACTTTATTTCATTCTTCTGCTTGTTTATGGCATAGATTTGTGTATTTTAGGGTGTGTCCTGTATGAAAAGTAGCTTAAGACACTTCGGGGACTGACTTACTGAAATAACTCTCCACCATGGATCCTGTAAGAACTAGGCCAATAACCTGAAGAATTATATAATTTTTTTTTTTTTTTAGCTTGAAGGGACCTTAGAGATCACTTTTTCCAGATCCTTCATTTTACAAATTAGGAAACTGAGTCGCCGTGTAGTAGTAGAGCAGGAATCACCACCTAGTCCTTCCAGTTGGGAAGCCCAGTGCTTTTCCAGCAGCATCTACTGCTTCTTGCACTGAGTCATTTATTTTCCAGGTGACTTTTGCATATTGTGATGTGTGTGTGGCAGGGAGGGACTTTACAACCTTGCCAGGTTATAGAAACAAGCACATGTAACATAGAAGAAAAAAGAGGGAGACACATTCATGGGAGAATTTTCTCTTCCTGTTACCTTAACATTGTTAAGGGAAAAACTAGTATATTGAAAGCAAGAGAAGATATTTAGGGAAATCATCCTATCAAACTCCTCTGGAATCAGCTTTCCTGGTTTGGGTTTCCAGGTTAGGGGTTATGATCTTGGCCACCAGGTCATCCGTGTGCCCTGAGACGGGGTGCGTGTGTAATGTGTATTCAACGTGTTCCAGGGGGAGGTGTCTGCAAGTGGCCGGCCAAGTGGACGTGATCAGGGCGGGAAACGGGCCGGGGAGGGGAGCGGCGGGAACCGCGAGGCCACAGCCAGTTGTCCGCGGAGCAGGTGGGAAGAGGGAGGGGTCTGCGCGGCCGCCGGGTGCCAGGAGCCCCGGGAGCCGGCTCCGCTGGGAGGGGCGAGGCTGTCACTCGCGAGGCGCGCGGAGCAGGAGAGGTGCGCGGAGCTCTCGGGCCCGCGCTGCGTCGGCCGCCAGCGCTTGGAGGGGCCGCCGGGCAGCGGGACGCGGCGCCATGGGTGAGTGTGCAGCCCGCGGGGCGCCCCGGGGCTCGGCCTCGGGAAGAAAGCGGGTGTCGGCCGGCCGGCCTGGGATTGCACACCTCCCGGCAGCAGTCTGTGGACTTTTCTCCGGGAGCCAGGAGGGGGAACGGGGTGGCCCTCGGAGGTGGGCGCCGGGGGAGGACCGCGCTCCAGAGGGATCGCCGCGCGTGGGCGTCACGGGGGGCGCAGAGTTCGAGGCTGGGGGACTGTCCCCACGTGCGCCCCAGGAGCAAGCCGAGACGGGGCGCGAGGAGTGGGGACTTTGTGCAACTTCCACTCGGTCCGGTTTGCGTGCGGGAAGGCGCCGGGGCAGGGCGAGGGGGGACACTTTCCAGCCTCCGCCTCCACCGAGTGCCGTCGTTGCGCAGAAGGCTGCAAGTTGAGGCTGAAGGCTGACCTGCTTTGGGGTGAGACGGGCCAGTGGGAGGGGGGAGCGACTCGGTCCAGGTCCCAGGGCGCTGGGGTGCGCGCGCGCCGCTCCGCTCAAGTTTCTAGACCGAGTGCCCCCCGCGCCCCCTTCCGCTTTGGAGTTTAGGGGCGGCACCTGGATGTGAGTGGCTGGGGTGGGGCGACCCGGTGCGGGGACCCGTGCCCGAGGAGGTTGGCATCCCGGGAGAAGAGCTCGGAGCCGCGCGCGGGGGGCGGAGGGCTGGAACCACGCATCCCGCAGGCGCGGTTCAAGGAGCCGCCGGCGCGGCCGCGTTTCGCGGTTACTGATTAGGGACCGGCGGGCAGCCCGGACTGACCCTGCAGTGCCTGTGTTCCCCTTTCTTCTCGGCCAAGTCCATTAGGCCCCTCCCCCGGCCTCTCCGTTGTCCTTTGTTGTGAGGGATTTCTTCCAGAGTGAAGGAGGCCTTGGGGATTGACGTGCTCGGGTGGAAATTCCTAAGTTCCCACAGGCTCGAGGGGTAGGGGGTGCTCTGACTGCTAATCGGCGGGGTTTATAGACGCTGGCCAACTTGGAAGAAAGGAGGACAGAGAAAGCTGAGGACATTTTTGCCTATGAATGTTAATTGTGGTCAAGACATTCATAGTCTGTTGCATGACTCTGGAAAAGTTTTTAAAAGTCCCATTTTTAAAGGCCTGTGAATAAACTAGTCTTGCAAATGATCTGCAGCATGAGCTGTCTTTAAAAAGTTTTCTGAAACAGAAGGAAAATGTTCCATTTAAAAGGGAAAGATAAAACACTTTTTTTTTTTTTTAAATCAAGCATGGCAGAATGAGTTTCAGGCTCTTTCTTTCTCTTGTTGTCCATGGTCATATAAACTCTTGTTAGAATAACACATAGAGGGGGAAAGCTCTCATAAATGGAAAAACCAACATAATTGACTTTCAGTGAAGTAATCTATTCACTTCACTGAAAGCATTTAAGATGCTGTTTTGTATACTGTATAGTCTCCAGGAAGAGCGACCTTAGGCTTGAGTGGACTATCTATCCAAGGGTAAGGTGCACATAATTTTGAAGTTAATTATTTCCCCAGCTTGCATTTCCAAACTATAATGAAGATGGTAGGTCTTGGCTTTTACCTCAACAAATTAGACAGGATCTCAGGTTATAGGAGAGGGTTCTCCTGGAGAGGAGGTGGGGTTAGCCCCTGAACCCCTCTGATCAGACTGAGTTTGGTCTCTGACTCTTGAAACTTCTCTATCCTACCTGTAAACTGACAGCTGAAATTTGTCTGTTCCTTTTACTGCCATGAATGGACTGCCTTTTCTTACTGTGATTGAGGTCACTGAAAGCTCACGGAGCTGTCAGATGGCTAGTAGGAGAGAGTGGGTTGAGGAAGCAGGTGAGAACCTAGTGGGTGGGGCGGCAGGGGAAAGGATGAGTGGGTGGCCTGGGAGTGAGGGTCTGAGGCCAGAGCTCAGGACAGAGACCCAGACGCGTGGTCCACACATAGCAAAGGCCCTGGAAGGAGCGGCGGGCAACATGAGGGAAGGAAGGAAGGAAATCTGTCCAGAAACTAGAGAGAGAAAACACTTGGTCACTTAAGGTCATCTCTCTCCTCATCTTTTAATTCACTTGTGAAAAGCACAGAACTTCATTACTTAGCACTTCTTTTATTTAGAGGTAGTAGGGGGGTGAGGATTTAGCATTGGCCTCCAAATTGCTGGGATAAGAGGGAAAGCAGTGTAGCTCTGAATGCCTGACTGTGCCAGCAGGATAAGTCCATCTTTTCCTGGTGTCGTGACAACTGAAATGTATCATTTCAAGAAAGGAAGATGGTGCTGTGGGGGTGAATATCGCCATCAATTCTTGCTTGATTCAGAAGAAGAACTCCATGCTCTAGCATCATGGAAGAATGAAAGTAATTGGTTAATCAAAATATTCTGAATAATTGATAGTTATCATATTTATAATGCACAAAGCTATTTCTAAAAAAAAAAAACCACATTATTTGCTAAGTAGGCAAATTGAGATTTTGGTATCCCTTGCTTCCTCCTTTTATTTTATTTTCTCAGTGATGCCTTCAGCTTATCAAGGTATGCAACTGACTTCCCCTCTACCCCCAAGTTTTGCTCTGCACAAAGGATATGATGAAATATTTCATACTGAAAAAATGTGGGACTAACTCATTGCTAGGAGTATTTATTTTTTAGCTGAAAGGTTGACTTGAACCTGCACAGTCACTAATTATGAAATTGCAGGCTCTGGTGTGAGACAGGTAGGGAATATTTTAAATTTCTCCTCTTACCACATCCCTCAGTGCTCTTTGTTGTATTTAAAAAGTGAGGTTGAACATTATACAGAATATATTATGGAACGTTTCATGGAGGGAGTGGCTCTGAACTTGGTGATATTTGAAGGGATGTGGAGGATTTGGGAAGGAGACAGGTGCTCCAGATAGAATAATGGATCCCTGAGCAGGGCTGAAAGAATTTCAGGGAGCAATAAGACATGGATTGACAGAATGGATTGGCAGGATGAGACTTGATTTTGGATGGCCTTCAAAAGCAACCAGAGGAATTTAGAATGTATATAATAGGAAAGAGGAAATCATGGAATATTCTTGAGTAGAGAGGAATTGTAGTGAAATTAGTGTTTCAAGAAGACAAATTGAGCAGTATTGTTTACGATAAAAGATAAATTAGGAGAGGACCAGTCGCAGTGAAATAGTAGCACTAGTGGAAATGGAGAAAGAAAGATGGATGAATGATATTTCTAATGAAAAGCCTAAAATTAGGAAATTAAGTGATAAAAAGGAGGATGAATAAGAAGCATTTTCTGGAGATTTGAAATCTTGAGGATTGGGGATATAGTAGGTCCCTTGATAGGATTTTCAAAGGATAAAACAGATGGTTTATTTTCCAGATGCTTTGGACAGAAGATAAATTTCATTTTTGAGATGTTAATTAAATGGTGATGGCTAAACATGTTAACACATATGTTAGTAAATTGGAAACATATCGTCAGAAATTAATCAGAGCACAAGAATAAGAAGGAAAATAAAGGTTAGAAGGTCACCAACCTTTGGTGAGTGGTAAATCTATGTAATAAATTACCTGTTTGGAGGTGAACAGGTAGGTATATGGAGGGCTGGTTGAGGGAAAGGGAAGGAGGATAAACACTATCTGCAGGAAGAGAAATATCAACCACATAACATGTATCAGTGCCCTGAAACTAGAACAGTGAAGTGTGACATCTTTAACATTCAGTGTTAGATCTAGGAGTCCACAAATTTTAACAAGAGGAGAACATCAGATGGAAATATTTTGATGTCATTCAGTTTCAGTAAAAAGAATCTTGGTTAAGGATCTGAAAATTATTTTCAAATTTAAGCCAAGAATAATGACACATGGTATCATCTCGAATTCATACTTTTTTTTTCAGGAAAGTATGACCCCCTAGAGGTAGTTATGAACAAGGTACAGAGATCCAGGATTTGAAGTCAGAGAAGCAAATGATGATCTTTAGGTGGATTATGCAGACATTGGGGATCCTGTTTTCTCTTTTGTTTGATGAAGGGTAATGCATGATTCTATACATTTGTGTAGCTCAGATCTTGATTTAATAATAATTATTAATAATTAATAAAAAACATGTAAAAAGATAAACTTGAACTATTTTCTTGAAGCAAACCAAGAATATTTTAAAGATGCTTAACTACTAATTCGAACTTTTTAAGGGTCGGTTGGCCTCTAATGTATTATGTATTTTGCTGTGCTAAGTCACTTCAGTCATGTCAAACTCTTTGCGACCCTATGGACTGTAGCCTGCCAGAGGAGCCCAGAGGACTGCAGGCTCCTCTGTCCATTCTTCCCAGGCAAGAATTCTGGAGTGGGTTGCCCTCCTCCAGGGGATCTTCCCAACCCGGGGATTGAACCTGTGTCTCTTATGTCTCCTGCATTGACAGGTGGGTTCTTTACCACTAGCGCCACCTGGGACTCCAATACTTTGGCCATCTGATGTGAAGAACCAACTCATTGGAAAAGACCCTGATGCTGGGAAAGATTGAAGGTGGGAGGAGAAGGGGACGACAGAGGATGAGATGGTTGGATGGCATCACCGATGCGATGGACATGGGTTTGAGTAAACTCTGAAAGTTGGTGATGGACAGGGAGGCCTGGCATGCTGCAGTCCATGGGGTCACAAAGAGTCGGACAGGACTGAGTGACTGAACTGGGCTGAACTGAACCACCTGGGAAGCCCCCTAGTATGTTATATGTCTTAGAAAATTATAAAAGTTTGATGCTGAGCAGAGAAAGATAAATTAATATTTTGATTATCTTTGCTTCATACCATGTATCCTTATAACTAGTGAATTAAAACAGTTTGTTATTATCTCTTATGGTTCTGTGGACTTTACTGCCGAGCAGTTATTTGAGGTCTCCTGCCTTGCAGTTCAGTATATGCTGGGGGTCAGGCATCTGGAGACTTGTTGGGCTATTCGCTTAAAGTGGCTCCCACCTGTAGCTGACGGTGGATGCTGGCTACTGGCTGGGAGTTCAGGTGGGGTTGCCTGCAAGAGGCTTGGACTTTTTGCAGCATGGTGGCTGGGTTCCAAGAGGGTACATCCTTAGAAAAGTGTTCTAGGGAAAAACCTAGGCAGAAGCTGCAAGGCGTCTTATAACCTAGAACCTCGTAGGTCCCAGAGCACCACCTCTGCTGCATGCTACTGCTCACAGAAATCATTGAGGATTCAGTGGTTCAAGGGAGATTCAAGGGAGGAGCATGCCTGTTCAAGGAGAGAAGGAAGTGTGGTAACCAGCTACTTGAGCTCATTCCTAAGAGATGCCTGGTAAATGATAGACATCATCAGGTTTACCTCTGAAAATTTGATATTTTATTAAAATTAAAAAAAATTTTAAATTGGAGGATAATTGCTTTACAATATTATGTTGATTTCTACCATGTATCATCATGAATCGGCCATAGGTACACATATACTTCCTCCC